GCTAAGCCAATGGGGACGTAAAGGGGCAAAAACAACTCTGCTGGACCACCCTCAGTGCATTCGGCTAAAAGGTAACTACCCGCTTTACTCAAGCTAGTCCCACCCCATCGCTAGCTCTAGTCCTAGACGTTTTATTCCTTACGGACTGCCCAAGTAGAAGTAGATACATTCTCTTCATGTTGAAATATCAACGCTGCAACATGGCGGACAGTCTAGGCAGACAAGACCATCTGTTTACTTTGTAGTTTGGCGTGTTTACGTCCACGTAATCTATGGTGTTAGTACCGACAGTTACAGTGAAGTAATAATATACGCTCTAGCCGCATAACATGGTGTACTATGACGTTAACGTACGTTGATAGTCTCCTGAACTGTATACGAAAAAAAATCATTTCTTTAAAAATGTGGGAATTGCTTGTACTGCTGTCGTAATATGCAAGCTACCAGTTGCTGCTCGAGAGCGGTACTAACGAGATCTAGGGGTCGCTAGCGCTACTCGCCTAACCCTAACCGCTAACGCACAAACCCTAACCCTAACCCTAATCCTGACCAGACCTATTTAACAGTGACCAGGGTATCGTTCGTATTACCGGACCGTAACCGCAGGAGTACGATTTCGGCAGTAACGCCTGGGGGACATAGACCTAATGAGCCACCAGTTGTTCAGTAGACACACGTTTGAGTATCTACAATGTATTTTAGTGTGCTGTGCTCTGTTGCCAGGGAACAAATGAGCGGCTCAATATACCCGTATGACAGCAGACTGCTAGGGACGGGTTATGAGCCAGAGATGAAAATCGTACTTCAGCGATGAAGAATTCGCCGTACTCCTCAAAGTCGGACTGGATCATCTATATCTCTATTCCACATATTTCTCACCGTAGTAATGCCGTATTGTAACCGTCGTCACTTTTCTTTCTATGTATAGCAGTTCATTGCTGTAGCGCAAACACTGTATATAACAGTATATCATATTATTTATATTATTATTTATTATTTATGATTTAAGGGATTACGTCACGAATTTTCTATGGGGTACAATCTCTAAAAAAAAATGTGTCCCATTTTTTTACATTAAAAGTAAGAACTTCAACGGACTTAAACAAATCGTTGTGAAATTCTTACCTGATAGAATTGTTTCTTCAACTAGTTAAAAATCGAAAAAACTCTGGACGATTGATTAATGTTGTCTAACATTATATTGCTTGCTATGGCAGTGATGTAATGGACGTCACAGACGATGTATGGTCACATCGAAACAATATAGTAAAATAGGAAGTATTAATGCCAGCAATTTAACCTAAAACTGTAAACAAAATTACTTATATTTTGTGAAAAGTGGAAATATTTTTTTTAATTTTTTACTATTTGCGTGACGTAAATCACTTTAACAGCTGACTTTTCACTAAGCAATTGGTATTAGCATTGAGTATTGAGTTGTATGTTGACTTGCTGGCACAAGAACATGCTCAGTTGACCTCAACTACTATAAACAACAAACAATCATCACTTGTTGGAGGCGGAATACGAACGACAAAGCTATATCTTCAAACCCATGACCATGGATGCTTGCCAATGTTAGCGCGCTCATTTGATGACTGAAGGCCTATTCCACACTTCTTCAAAATCACTGACCGTATCGGATAGGTTCAATAAATTCGATCATAAGCAATTCCGTTGGCCGTATAAAAGTGGCTCCATCATATAAATTAAATGTGAAAGGTAATAATCATAATTATTTCAGTGCTACTAGAGAATACTTTGTGGAATTAGTGAACTATCATTGGTCTATTCGAAGAGTCTGCGACATGTTGTTTGCGTGCCGCCAAGTCAAACGATTATGGCAACGAATGCATTGTATACCATTACCAGATTACAGTATCGGATCTGATGACACAGTCAAGTAGAATATGCAAACCACTGCTAGATAGATGTCGCATTACATAAATCGCCGTCTAACGAACTAAGCGGCCATTGACTGCCTGCTTATCATATTATTCTCATGGATTATTATCTGTAACTGCTTCTCATATTAAGATTACTCTCACGCTAGCGGGGTCTCATGTTATATATTTCCAAGTACCAAGGCTCCTATAATACTCTTCTAGCGGGGTCTTATTAATCATTATTCTCAATACACATAATGTCTTCTATCTAGCAGGCAGGATCTATATTATTTATCAAAACCTTCTCATTCTAGCAGGAGCCTCATAATTCTATTCTCAATCATATACTCATATACTAGCGGTCTTCATGCAATATTCAATTCATACTACTATGAAAATAGCTGACGCGTACTGCGCAGGGGCGCCGTGCGTGCAGCAGCAGCCCGTGCATTATAAATATATAATATATATAATATAGATAAATATATATATGTGAAATGGGTCGTGAAGCGGGGGCCGTGGGTGGCGCTCGCGCTCGCTCTGCCGGTGGCGCGTGTTTGTGGGGCGGGGCGGGCCGGCGCGGCGCGCGGTGTGGGGCGTTGTGTGTCGGGTCGGCTGTGTGTGGTGTGGGGCGTGTTGCGGCGGGGTCGCCGGCGAGCGTGACCGGCCGTATGTTGTGTGGTGGTGTGGTGTGATAGCAATGTAACGTCCAGGCTGTGCAATGCGTGCTCTGTGTTTGCGTCGTATCGACCTCAATAGAAAATAAACCCGTAACATATTCATCACGGCACACAGAGTACATTCTTGACTGAGGCCTGTTTGTACTCATCGGTCTATACATATTATAATCGAGTGCATGCGTGCGTGCGTGTGTGTGTGTGTGTGTGTGTGTGTGTGTGTGTGTGTGTGTGTGTGTGTGTGTATGTGTGTACGTACGTGTGCATGCGCGTGCCTGTGTTTGCGCTTGCCTCATAGAAACACCGTTACATTGATCGCCACCACAAGTAAATTTTGACAGAGCTTTTGTACTCATCGGCTCTTACATATTATACCGAATGTTGCCATTCACACACTGAAATCTAACCATTATTAATAATAAATATTATTTATTGATTTATATTGCGCACGTTACATGCAGATATGCTCACGTGCGCATTGCAAAGGCTGATTATAAAACAGCGAATTGCAATACTGTAAAATATAGATACTTAAATTACGACAATCCTATAACAATTCCTGATTATAAATAGCGGATTGCAACATTGTAAATTAGTGCATCACGTGATAAATCGTTGAAATTCTATTGGATAACGCAGCAGGTACTATGAAGCAATAGTGCCGCTCTGAGCGGGCACTATTGCTTGCGCGACGTATTGTTATTATAACGCATTGTGTTCACGTCACGAATCTCCTGCGTCTGGGCGCCACGCAAGAATTTCGAACGGCGGTTGTGTTTGTGTCGAGCGTTTTGTTACATCGAATGCACCGGCAAATTAGGGAGTATAAAGATGGTATATAAGCATGAAAAGTAGATTGCATAGTCATGTGATGCACTAAAAACATTAATGCCTGTTGTTGGGGGCACTATGTTCTCATAGTGTTGCTTTGGGAAGGAATAGTGCCCTCGCTATATACCTTTCCTCAGCAACACTATGAGAGCATAGTGCCCCCAACAACAGGCATTAATATATAAATATAGATCCTAAAAGCGACAATAATATAACATTTTCAAAAAAATAAAACTCAAATCAAATGTACACCTAAAAATATAATGTCTATGTGTTAAATGCAATGTTAAATAGATGAGTTTTTACTAGGCGTTTAAAAGATTCCAGCGACTTTTCACATCGAATATGACTAGATAGCTTATTCCATAATTTTGGGGCAGCTGATGAGAAAGCTCGATCGCCAAGTGTAGCCAACGTTTTTACAGCTGGTGGCTCAATTAATATTTGGTTTCCAGAGCGCAGACTGTACCGATTAGGTCTCTTTAATGTGACTAATTCCCTGATATAATCTGGTGAAATACAATGTAATGCCTTAAAAGTGATGAGTAGTATTTTAAACTCTATACGGAATATATTATTGTGGTTATTGTATAATTCCTTGTTGGCTTTGTACAGCTAATCGATTCAAAGCAATTTGTATTAATGTATCACCAATGGAAATCATTGCTCAGATGCGAAACAGTTTCCTAAATAGAATGACATAACCTCTCGCTGGCAAAAATATTGTGTAGCTATGGCAACTACAAACAAACATCATATTGTAAAGCAACGTTATCGGTCACACTAATTAATAATTCAGGCATTATTATTATTTTTTCTGGTAATATAGAGGCGAGATGATGGTTGTACATTTTGTGTTCCTATCTCCGAAATATTTACCCAAGTCGATGCAATTCCTTTTTTTCGTTTCAGAGTCTGTACGGTGTGCATTTTCGGTTAGGAACGACATTACACCTGATAGTTGCAGCTGTCGTGTCGCGTGCAAGTAAACGCATCGATTTCTGTTCATTTTACTTCTCTGTATAAGCACATCTCGTTCGCCCCTGGTGACTGGGTATTTTGAATGATGAGAATCTAGACCATTGAGAAATCCATATGTTAGAAAAATTTGTCTCCATTTTCCTATTTAATTTTTAAAAAAATGTTAGGGGACATTGTCCTAAGCCGAGAGCATCACTTCGCTTAAAACTGGGTTTACACTGCCAACTTTGTGTTGGCGAATTGCCGAATTGGCGAATTGCCGAATTGTAACAACTTTGCAATTTCGCAACTGACAATCGCAAACGCAAAAGTTGCACGTCCAACCGATCGATGGCAGCTAGTTGGGAGATTAGAATATGTTCTAATTCGGCAATTCGGTAATTTGGCAATTCGGCAATTCGCCAACTCAAGGTTGGCAGTGTAAACCCAGCATATGTTCAATTAATAAATTGTCACATTGTTGCGCTTCTTTTCAGCGAAACAGAATACAAGTTGACAATTTCATCAGCCACATATCCGGCAGAAAATTACGAGGTTAGACACATCTGCTAACAGTTTCATTATAACATTTCAAAGTCTGTACTGTACTTCACTCACTGATCGCAACCCGATAATGACACCCGCCCATTATTGCTCCGCGTAAACTCGAATATGCTGTCTCGTATTATGTATTTAATACGGCCGACTTTAGCGAGCAACATAATTTCGGCACGCTTTCAGTTACTTCCGTGTATAATTGTTACTTGTTCATTAGGCCGTATATATGTTACCTGTTTAATTGCAGCACTTCATTCCTGACATGGTCAGAGAGGGAAGTCCCGCAGTGCACAAGACACTGGCGATGTGGCTGAACACCAGCGAATCGGCATTGAAAAGTGGCGCCGAATGTCTTATAGAAAAATCGAACTGTACAGATGATTCCTATGATTTCATCGACACTTCCGATGACAGCACATATTTTCTGGCAGTAGCCGCGGGAAGGTGTGCGATTTATTTAGTATTTATCGCCGGCGATTAGTCGGCTTGTAAAAAGTCTTGCGTCTCTACTATACTTGCGTTATATTCAGCCGGCCACAATAACAACCTTGAATCAACACCGCGGATATCAACTTGTGCACGCTCGTGGAGTGAAGCGCGTATATCAAATTGTACCTTTAGGCAGCAATCGCCCTCTTATATGTGTATTACATGCTAAACTACATCGATTTTGTCGCAATGCGTGCGTAACTCATTATTCATAGCCAGCGATTATATTACGGTAAAACTCGGGTGCAGCATATACCTGTAGTGTATTATGGTACTCTAAATAAGCGTAGATATATACCTCACTTAATGCATTTATTAGTTATAGGCTAACTATATGGTACTATACATATATCATGAATGACACTCTTTTTCTAGATCCAACTTTCTCAAGATCAGTGTTTATTATAAAGATATGAAGTTCAAGAGCACAAAACTGCAGAAGGCATACACAGTGAGTCAGACATAACAGTTGCGTAAACACGAACTGTAACAGCATCAGTGCCATCTTAAAGGCGCGGATCTATATAATAAGCGTTATATATATATTATATTATATTATATATTATTATATGTTATATATCATAGCTGCTGGCAGCCTGCTGTGTGTTTATTATAATCAGGGGCAGCTTGTTGTGTATTTGTCGCAGCGCTTAGCAGTGTTATGTGTACTTGTTGTAGTTGGTGACATGGTAATGTGTATTTGTTAGAAGTGGGTGACCGGGTAATTTGTTATAGGGGTGTATATAGGGTGTATTTTTTCTAGTGAATCCTGCATACTGCGGTGTATTTGTTATAGTGACAGCCTTCTGTGTGCTTGTTGCAGTGGGTGAGCTTTCTAGCGGAGCTGGGCGGCATGTTTGGTCTCTGCATCGGCTTCTCTCTGCTCACCTTCGTCGAAGTGTTGGAGTTACCGGTGTTATTGCTGCATATCTGGGTCTGCGGGGGTGCTAACAAGGTTGGTGAGAAGCCAACCACTATCCAGATAAACGTGAAAAATAATGTGGGTGAAGTTTGAACAGTACGAAATCAAGAACTGACCTGCCGCCCGCTGTACGTGTACGCTACGCTGGTAGTCGGTAGGTACACGTACGCGCGTGTCGAGGGCCTGTTGTCGAAAACATCATATATAAATATTATGACATCATATCTTATTTTATCTCGCAACTTTTGAAACGACGTGTTGTGCAAAAGTTATGACATTTTAAACAAATGAATAGTCATGACTGTTTATATTATTTTTGATAACGGTCTCAGCGGGTAAAGAATTTAGAGACGATAGAGGGCAGCAGTATGTTACATCTTCAGTGGGTAATATAGTCTACTAGCCAGTCCTAGTGAACCAGAAATGTCGAGTACTATAAGGTTTTATTGTTGGAAAGCAATATACAGGTCATAAGGACTCACAAACTGCGCGATGCTAATTTGCATATGTGTAGCATTTTGCATAATCGGCCTAATTAGCGTATTAATTAGGTCAAATCACTACAATCAAGAATATCTTCCTTAGTAATCCACATAGAGACTTCATTCGATGTGTTAGACCCATGTTTCGACACTAAGCAATTGATCTGGCATGGATTCAAACCCCCTACCATCCTTCCGACTGCCAGAAATCCAATATGGCTGCCATGCATAATGAGGTCAACCGGTAAAATCACGCATAACTGACCAAACTGTGGAAGAGTACAGACTTTGTTATGCGTGTTTAGAGCCATGTTCTTATTAACACCAGGATTCCATCGTCTATAGAACTTCTATTATTTAACAGTAAGTTATTATTTATATATAAAATGTTAAATATTATGATGCAGCTAGATCATGGAATACATAGATGAACAACCAACACCATCAAACTACTTACTATTCGCTTCTTCTTCATGCGTTGTGATCATTCTCTCCCGTCTCTAGATCCTCTTCTCCTTCCTTCTGCTCTTTATATCCTTTCTTCAGACATCATCTCGTTGTGTCAGTGAGTTACAACACTCATTTCCTCCTTCACACACATAGTAGCTGGTCATACATGACAATTCCATTTGCTGCACAACCACACTTCTCTGCTGCAGGCATTTCCCTCTGCTCGGCAGCTGCAGCTAATGACGTCCATGAGGTTTTTTGGTGCGGTAGGCTTCTCTTGACAGCACTGGTACCACTTCATCGTTTACAGTAACTTTCCATCCATTAGTTAGTGATTTGGACAGGCAGGAGGGTCAGCCTTGTCTGCAGCTTCCATAGCATCATTTTGGAGATGTGCTCTCGCGATAGGGAGTCTCACGGTGATGTCTGTTGGTGAAGGACTTCACGGATGGAGGATTCTTTTGCTTGCCGATAAATCTCGTACTGAAGCATTCATTGACGTGCCTTTCTCTTCTGGCCATATAAATGTTAGAAAGAAGGCTTTGCCTTGCCATCAGCGTCACTCTAGTGGCATCGTCCTCTGTCCAAGAACTGGAGTCTAGTCCAGCAATAATCGGGTCTGGCTGAGCACTTTTCAGGGCGGACACTTTCCTTTCCCATTAGGATAGGACACAGTGTCACAGCCTGAGAGTGCGTGCATTCCAATGTTTCTTGCATTTCTTTCCTTGGTGACAGTGGCATTGATGTCAAGACGGATCCATCCCACTTCCTCCATCTGACATGGCATGATACGCCATTCTTCAGCACCAGTACACGAGCAGACAGCATACTTCTGTGGTCGTCACTAAGGATGCGCACAGTTCGAGCTCCGCCGATGCAGCACGACAGCATGAAGCTGATGAGAGATATGTACTGCTTACATCATTATGCACAATACTGTTGGTTGGCTCACAAGTTCAATGTTGCTACCAATATCAAAAAGTGTAAAGGAAAACAAAATTGTCTAATAACCTGAAACGCTATTCGCCGTCTCCTGAATACGTTGGACAGAAGAGGAATCTTTGAGTTGTCATGCTGCTTACCATGCATGAGCTGTGCCCTGCTTTCTCCACTCACTCATCGACGAGTTATGGATTCCTCGAAACGGGAACACACGTCAGTACTAGCTTAAACATCTCCGGCGTCATATTAAGGAACCTCCTTCCTCTCTGGCACGCTTCTGCTGGTGACGCCTCTCAGCCACTTTCTTAGCACAATGTCTGGCCATCCTCGGGATACAGTGGGTGATCTTGTCGTTGAAGGAAGGAAATCTCCGCCGTCGACAATACACAGAGGGCAGACATCTTATGTCATCTTGTCGGCATGAAGGTATCGGTGCAAAGGATCACGAGAGGCAGAGGAAAGGCGGCGTAGGGATCCACCTGCAAATCAATGACTCTGGAACTCAGCGGACTAGCTGGTTGTGATGCCATCACTGAAAAACAAGAACAACACAGGCAGCTCTCACAACCTACCTGCAGCACATAATCTTGGTAAGCGACATTGAACTTGTGAGCAAGCCAACCAGTATTGTGTATCGATTGAAGCGAGGACGTATCTCTCATTTCAGCTACATGCTTCGTGCTGATCGGGTGGGGAAGCTCGACTGTGCGCATCCTTCAGTGAATGACGCCAGATGTATTCGTGGCTGCTCGTGTACTGGTGGCTCGGAGGATGGAGTATCATGCCGATGTTCCGATGGAAAAGTTGGGATGGATCCGCTGCTTGACATCACATGCCACTGTCAGCAAGCTCGGGAAGAAATGCAAGAAAATATTGCGAATGCACGCCACTCTCAGGGCTGCTGACACTGTGATCCATATCCTAATTGTGGAAAGGGACAAGTGGTCGCGCCTGAAAGTGCTCAACCAGGACCATTATTGCTGGACTAGATAAGTCTTCGAAAAGACCGATGCCACTCGACAGTTGACCTGGAATGGCAACTAGGCAAACCTTGCTTCCTTACATTGTATATGCGCCAGAAGAATGCAGATGAATGCTTGCCAGGTACGAAGATTTATCGCAAGCTAAAGAACTGCCTCCATTCGTAAGTCCCTTCACCAACAGACATTCAACCTGAGACTCCCTATCGGGAAGCACATCTCGCAAAGAATGCTATGGAAGGCTGCAACCATAAGGCTCGACCCTCCCTGACTGTACAACGTACTGAAGTGGTACCAGTGCTGTCAACAACTTACCGCACGCAAAAAAAACCTCATGGACGTCATTAGCTGCAGCTGCGGAGCAGAGGGAAATGCCTGCCAGCAGGAAGTGTGAGTTGGTGACAGGCAATGGATTGTCATTGTCCAGCTACTATGTGGTGTGAGGAGGAAGATGCAGATGGTTGTAACTCACTGACACAAACGAGATGATTGCTGAAGCAAGGATACTAACAGAAGCAGAGGAAGGAGAAGAGATCTCAGAGACTGGAGAGAAGTGATCACAGGACCACTGAAGAATGAAGGCGAATAGTAGTGATGTTGATGGTGCTTGGGTGTATCCATCGTATGTATTCCATGATCTAGCTAGGGCATCATAATATTTAACATTTTCATATATAACTAATTAACTCCAACTGTTAAATATATAAGTGTCTATTCGAGACGATTGGCAAATCCTGTGTTGAACTGCAGGTCGTAAAATCATCAAAAACAACTAGTCTCTTCATCTCCAAATCAGTTTGGTCAGTTATGGTGATTTTACGAGTTGACGTCATTGATGCATGGCAGCCATAATGGGATTTCTGCGCAGTCCGGAAGGATGCGTAGGGGTTTGGATCCATGCCCAGATCAATATTGCTTAGTGTCGCAAACAATATGGTCTAGATCCAACGAATGAAGTCTCATGTGCGATTATAAGCAAAGATATCTTGATTTGTGAATTTTGACCTGAAATTTAATTGCTAATTAGGCGTTAAGCAAACTGCTACACATATGCAAATTAGATCCGGCAGTCTTGCTTGTTCTTTTGACTGTATATGGCATTTCACAACTAAAACCTTATGTACTCAGCATTCTAGTTCCCAGTAAAGAAGACATAGTTGGTTTGGCTAGTGGACTGATTACTCCAATTAAGGTTACGCGTGCCCGGTCCGTAAGGCTGGGACATTTAGTGTTGCGGTGAATAGCTTTGTTGGAGCACATGAACTCGCCTATAAAGCTACTATATACAATACAACACAACACCCACCACGGCACCGCACGCACGCAGATATATATATATATATATACTATATATATATATATAGTATATATATTATATATCAACATACAGTTATTTATTTATATTTTATTTATTTATTTGTTTATATATATACTATATATAGATAGATATATAGATTACACAATATTAATTTTTCTACACTGAATTAGGCTACTCCCGGATACTGTAGCAGTACATATCATTGCCACGATACAACTGAACTGTCGTGTCGTACAAAGAATTTACTGGCCGAATAATTGGAGTTAACTAAATGCCGTTATTATTCCCAAATTTTATGTGGCATAAACGCAAACGGTTTGACAATAGACACATTATTAAATCACATTCAGCTTTCTTCTTGTACAGAATAAGCTCTATAAGGCCGTATTGTTGCCGATACTGCGCGCCATCATAATGCTAATAAAATATTATACATTTTGCTCAAAAAACATTGGCAGTTGATTGCACTTGAACTTTGTGGAATATGCATTACTATTGAAGTTACGTGAACATTACAGAGTGAGGGACTGGACAGCGTGCTGTGTCAGTGACTTATAAGCGTTCCATGATTTTCAAGCTGTAAACCAACTACATTTAAATAATTGAATACAATTCATTCATTTCAAAGTAGTCTTAACAAGAAACTACTTCTATAAACCACAGATCTACGTTGTGTTTTAGGAAAGTAAATCGCGACTAATTCCGCACATTATTGATAAGTGTCAGCCACACATGCCTACGCGTTACTGGCAGCACGCGATCGAATTCACACGCAGCGTTCTCATACAGAAACTGTTTTTTTAAAACATGTGATGTCCCCTCCAACGCATTTAACTTCACATTGTTCATACACACGATGGACAAAACGCTTAGTATTTCACGCGTAAAATGATCAGCAGTTACGTGTGAAAATACTTCACATTATTTAACCCGCATTATCAACAGACAACACATGTCGGTT